GCATTAATCAACGAAGCTGAACAAGGACGAATTAAGAATTATGATCAAGCTATTAAATTAGATCAAATATTTGAACGACGACCAAATACCTGATTATATTAACAAACAAAATAAACTTTTAAAACAGAACTCTAAGTTTTCTTTTTTTTTTCTAACATATATAATTAAGCATTTAATTTTTATTAATTTAAACTAACTTTAATTTACCAATAAAAACATTATAGATAAATAAAATAGTTTGTACATGAATCAATGAGTTATTGAATTGAGTTGAACACATTACCATATTCTTTACGAATTCCTTAAACTATGAAACTTCATATAGATTTTGAGTGTGGGGTGTGAGATGTGGACAAGGTGGATAGGTCTAGATGATAGCGCCGGATATAAGTACATCTAGACCTAGCCACATCTGACACCTACACTGGCACCCAAACTTCATACTCACACTCCACATTCGCACACCCACACCCACATATCAAACTGGTATAGAAAATTTAATGAAATTCTAAATAGTAGATAAGAAAGGGACAATGAGAGTGTGGGTGTGAGTGAACAGAAAAATCGATGAGAAGCTAGCACGAGCACGATGCATTACCACGAAGTGCGATATTGTTTCATTGGCGATATAGCAGGTAGTCGAATAGTATATAGACATAATATTTCTTCATTTTTGACCTGTTAGAAAGTATTTCCGGCCTGTCAACAGCTATGGGTTGGGATCAGAATATTGTGCTCTTTTCAAATATGGGCTTAAAAATTTTGTCTCAGTTTTTGTTCGAGACTAGTGAAATAATCTTTGAAAAGACCAAAAACTAGTTTGAAGGGAAACTTGTCTCTGCAAATTTTTGTATTTTCACTGTTGTGATTCGACACTACAAGTTGGAATCTTTATTTATATATCAGTTTGTAGATCAGAAGTTATCTACAAAAAGCATGTAACTTCATTTAGGTTAAAGCTACAGTTTAGTTCAATATTACATTCTCTAGAGGGGCACCTGCTCTACAAAATGACTGATTCTAACAATTTTTAACATGTTCGAGGAGGGATATTGAAAGGTGAACAAAAACCTGTTGGTTGGCCACTAAAAATAATTTTTCAAGCTTTGCAAAAAGTTCTTCACTACTCTTGAACAAAAACGGATACAGCATTCCTAACCCTAGATTCAAAAAGAGCACAAAATTCTGATCATAACTAGGGGTGGCACTTTAACTTTTAAAGTTTAAAGTGCACTACTTTAAACTTTAACTTTTAAAGTTAAAGTGATCATACTATAAACTTTAACTTTAAAAAATTTAAATTTAAAGTAAACGTTTTCCTATAAACCAAAATTTTTCTTAAAAATTCAGAAAAATGAATAAACATTTATGAAAATACCCATACATCTTCATGCGCTGTAAAAGGGAGTCATCCATAGATAATCATCCACTATACATTGGGGGTACCCTTGGGTCATCAACCACTATATATTGGGGGTACCCTTGGATCATCATATACTATGCAATAAGGGTAGCCTTGGATAATCAACTACTATGTAAAAAGGGTATTCAATTGTCATTCACTAGGATATAGGGGCGCTATCCATAAGCCATCAACTGCTGTATAAGGGGTGGGTCTCAATAGTTCATGAGCTACTCTATGATGGGTACCTATCGATCATCAGCTACTATATAATGGGAATATTGATAATTTTCGAGTGCTATAGAAAGTGGGTATTCGTTACTCTGGATTGCACTTTAACTTCATTTTAAAATTTCACTTTATAGTTTAAAGTTTGAAGTAGTCATACTTTAAAACTTTACTTTGAATAATTCAAAGTTAAAGTACAGCTACTTTTCAACACTCGTATAGGGGTGGCACTTAACTTTAAATTTTAAATGTTAAAGCAGTTAAAGTTAATGTTTAATAGCATTTCGAAAAGAACTTAATGCTAAATCTTTCGAGCAATGAGTAAGTCTGAGTTGCGGACAATAAAACATGGTGCTGCAAAAATAGAAAGATACTAACGCATCGTAGGTTGTTTATTAATGCGAAGTTTTTCTTTTTCTATCATAATCTATACCATATTCAGTACAGAGTCAGTTGGCTCAGTAATATCCAATCATCGAAGTTTATCTTTTGTTTGATGCTTAAATCCACAGCTCTTGTTCTAACATCATAATGTTTTAATATACACTCATCGATTCATAAGACAACTTGTGCATTTAGTATAGTGTGCACACACCATTACGTTCACGATTCATGCATCCAATAGCATCATATTAAAGTCAGATTGTCATTATGGGCTACTGTTAGTAGAGTTGCTGAGATTATTATCAGATTTTTCTGAATATTCTGGCAATCAGATTGGCTCGAAGATCAAATACACAATCACATATATTAAGCTATTCTCTTCTACCAAAAGGCAACATTATGGAAACGTGACTTATATCTTTCCCTCAAGTTCACAATATATTACAGCGTGTGCAATCATACCAATAACTCATGGGAAGGTGGCAAAACGTCGAAAATGAAAACGTCGAAAAGCAAAATACCGAAAATTACAAACTTTATAGGGACAATATCCAGGTCTTGTTGGAACGCTCCTTAAAGAAATCAGTGAAGGACAACGAGCGCGCAGTTCAATAGTGTGAGTGAGGACAAAATCTGTGGCTTCTACTTCATTTTTACGACTTTCGAAAAAAATTATTTTCGAGATTTTGCATTTCGACGTTTTGACTTGCGATGTTTTGCCATCTATTCTAACTCATCAGCACATCATTACCGTTTCATTTATTACTGTCAATAGAATATTCATTACTCCAAGCTTCATCTGCATGTCAGTAAAAGTCTAAGAAGAGCTATTGATACTACAATATATGGTTTTAGAAATAGTTTAAAAATAATGTACTGATATCTGAATGTGAAATAAAGGAGTATTTTCACTTACATTTTTTTCCGAGGGGAGCAGTGTCAAGGAAAAATAAGCCTGGCACAGTAACTTTGAATAAAGACTAAACGGATGAAGGCGACCCTACTCTTTGGTTAAGTTTATCAACTGTTAAGTTCACGCAATATCTCAGAAGCTCCATTATAGCTAAGTTGAGAAAGATACTAAGTGTAGTGTTTTCAGAAGTCGATAGCACATTCTGCCTGCTCTAAACTGATTTCCTTTCTTAAACCTTTCTTACCAAAACTTTTTCCTAACAAAATTCGATACTTTAACTTTAAAAAGTTTAAAGTTAAATTTTAAAATAGTACTTTAAACTTAAACCACTTTAACATTTAAAGTTTGAAGTTCAAGTGCCACCCTACCCAAGGGTACCCCTAATGTATAGTAGTTGATGGCCCAAGGGTACTCCCAATATATAGTAGTTGATGACTCAAGGATAACCCCAATATCTAGTAGATGATTGCCTATGGATAACCCCGTTTCACAGTGCATGAAGAGTTATGGGTACTTCCATAAATGTTTATTCACTTCGATGAATTTTTAAGAAAAATTTTTTTTTATAGTGAAACATTCACTTTAACTTTAAATTTTTTAAAGTTAAAGTTTAAAGTATGGTCACTTTAACTTTAACTTTTAAAGTTTAAAGTGGGACTTTAAACTTTAACCACTTTAACCTGTAAAGTTTAAAGTTAAAGTGCCACCCCTAGAAATGACAGTGTGATGAAATGGGTGGACGGTACAAAACAAGGTCTTGTCGTGGCTGGTGGTCAAGAAAAAGGAAATGGTCTTGCACAATTGTCAATTCCTCAAGGAATCGTTGTCAATCAATTAGGCACTGTCTATGTGGCTGATGCTGGGAATCATCGAATCATGCGTTGGCTCAAATGAGCCATACAGGG